AGGCCGGCGGTGGACCGGTGCGCCCCGAGTCACAAATGGCGACACCTGGCGGTAAAATTAATTTTATTTTGAATTTCGAACTGTTACACCAATGCGGCACTACAGTAGCGTGCCGGTGACAAGTGGCGACACGTGGCGCCGCCCCTGGTGACAAGTGGCGGTGAGGCGAAAGCGCGCACGAATAGAAACGTTTTTTACATAGCCGCACGTCGGCAGCACAGTACCTGCTTTCGAGTTCAACAACCTTCAGCAAATTTTCACCACGTGACGGCTCCCTGTTAGCGTGGTGACCAGGGTCTGGGCAAGGCAGCGATCGTGATTCTATGCCGGCTTAGTAGTGGGCTGAATACGGCATTCCCCGCGAAAAGTTTACCGGATTGCTTAACGGCATCCGGATAGTCCCTAGGTGCTATTGCGCTTTGCTTTTAGTAAAGCGTGGTAGTCTGCCGCTGTGCAGGAAGCCTAATCCGATAGCGCACCATTTATTGGTGTTGTAGTATCGGGCTCGGAACAACGGCCTCCGCAGAGCAATCTGCGGACGTCGGACTGACGTTGTTTTCAACGTCGACAACGAAGATCAAACGCAGCCTCCGTCAAACTATAGAGGCTGCAAGAAGACCCAGTGTAGGTGCCGTTAGGGCTTGGAAAACCTAACCACCGCACTGAGGGAAAAGGGAGCGTGCGTGCTTAGCGACCCCAGCGGGAAGAGCCTTGCAAGAGGTTCTTTCTAATACCGGGCTCCCTGGGAGTAGAAATAGACAAGGTGGTCGTACTCTGAGTATTAATACTGTACCCTGTGTATACTAGGACCATTAGTCTATTTCTATTTCTATTTCGTTTTTGGTTCTTTTGAATCACGGGATAGTACAAGACATTAAAGGCCCTATATTGTTACTCTTTTGCTAAGTGCTCTTGCGGACGACCTAGCTGGCTGACGTTGCGTTTAGACCTTTGAGGACTGCTTGCTACGACTCATAGCGATCTACAACGGACCCCTCGCACTTGCGTCAACCCTAGCTGCACTTGCAGGGATAACACTAGCGCGCCAAGCAGAACATAAATGGCGGGAACAGCGGGCGAAGACGTGGCAGAAGCAAGACGGCAGCAAAGAAACGCGCGTGCAAGGGAAAGAAGAGCGCAAGAGTCTGAATCTGACGCTCAAGCACGTCGTGAGGCACGTCGAGCCCGTGCGAGAATCCGGACGGGGCAACAAACCGAATCTCAGAGGGAAGCGCGTCGTCAAGCCGACCGTGAACGTGCTGCAGCACGAAGAGCAGCAGAGACGTCTGAGCAGCGCGAGGAGCGTCTCAGTCGACTGAGGGAGAGAGCCAGGGCCCGCAGAGCGGGAGAAACCACCCCCCTCCGAAATGCGCGGCGCGAAGCGGATCGCATTGCGACACGAGGCACTAGAGCGGAGGAATGTACTCCTATTCGTGAGGGGCGGCGAGAATCGAATCTTATTGCAACGCAAAGAGGCCGAGCCGAGGAAAATACTCCAATGATATCTTCGAGACAGGAGTCGAATCGCTTGGCAATGCGACAAGCGAGAGCTGTGGATATATCCCCTGTCATAGCTGCGCGGCAAAGATCCGACCGCCAGGCTCGAAGTGCCTCTCGACAGCTCTTCCCTCCACTACCCGAGTCCTCTCCTTCGTACCGCGATCTCGGCATGATCCGTGTTGAGTGTTCACACTGCAAAGCTCTGCATTTCGTCCAAGAACGCATCGGGAGCAGCTCTGCCGCAAGGCCCATTTTTTCCACATGCTGTGGGAAGGGGAAGCTGTCATTGCCGCTTCTCCCCGACCCGCCAGCTCTTCTGCGCTCTCTTCTCATCGATGATACTCCAAGGGCCCGCAGCTTCCGTAAGAACATTCGAGCATACAATGTAGCGCTATCGATGGCATCCGTGGTCGCCAAATGGGTGAACAGAGGTCCCGGTCCTTCTAATTTTAACCCCACAATGACGATGCAGGGCGGGATGTACCATTACATGGGTCCCATGATGCCATCCGAAGGGCGGGCGCCTTCCTATGCTTCCGTTTACATTCATGACACTGACTACGCCACCCAGACGCGCACAAGGCTTGGAACCTCTAGACAACTGGAAGAGGCACTGATGACGCAACTGACACACATGCTGCACGAATGCAACCCCTACGTGCAGACGTTTCTGTGTATGCGAGAATGGGCTCAATCTCCTCACAACAACTGTCCTGCCACGTACCAGATGGTCATCCATGCCGACCGCAGGCCAAGTCATGAGCACGTGCGCCGGTACAATGGTCCCGAAGCTTCTGAAGTCGCCGCATTGATCCCTGGAAATGAAGACGGAGAGATTGGGCGAAGAGATATCGTCGTGCGCAGGAGAGGGACTCTGAACAGTAACGGGAACGAAGTGCTGGATCCGATTTCAGTCAGTCATCGCGCATACGATCCATTGAGTTACGTGCTTTTGTTCCCGAACGGTAGAGATGGATGGTATCCAGAGCTTCGATTCTCCAGTGTTCAAGACGGCAGACGTACCAAGATTACTCCGATGATGTACTACGGATGGCATTTGTTCGAAAGATCAGGCGAGTTCAGCACAATCTTGCACGCAGCACGACTCTTTCAGCAATACTTGGTTGACCAGTTCTGCAAAGTGGAGGCAGAAAGGCTTTCTTATCTCCGCCACAACCAGACACAACTTCGAGCCGCCGACTACACCTCACTGCGCGACAGCCTAGGAGACTCCCGTCGTGCTGAAGATGAAGCCGATGCCGTGCGTGCGGGACGACTGTTCATTCTCCCTTCCACGTACATTGGAGGTGACCGCTATATGAGGCAGCAGATGCACGACATCATTGCTATATCGAACCAAATTGGCCACCCGGACATCTTCCTCACCATGACATGCAATCCAAGCTGGCCGGAGATCACAAGAGCCCTACTGCCGAACCAAACGCCTCAGGACAGACCGGATCTGTGCGCACGTGTGTTTCGTCTGAAAATGAAAGATCTCATGTCCTTGGTCATCAACGAAGAAGTATTCCGAACCGTTGTTGCCCATGTACGAGTCATCGAGTTTCAGAAACGCGGTCTTCCCCACGCTCACGTTGTATTTTTCCTAGATGAAGTCTCCAAGAATGATCTGCGTACTCCCGAAAACGTCGACCGCATTATCTCTGCCGAGATCCCGTCTGCCCAAGATCCAGAACTCCAAGAGGTCGTGCTCAAGCATATGATTCACAATCCATGTGGAGAACACAATCCAACAGCCGTGTGCATGGGCGAGCGGTACTGCAGGAAAGGGTTTCCAAAATCGTTCAAACACGAAACCAGCCAGTCCGACAGTGAGTACTACATCACGTACCGAAGAAGGGCACCCTCTGCAGGTGGCGTCTCCATCGAGCGACCCTCCCGTATTGGCCGACGACAGCAACCCGTCGTGGTAGACAACTCCTGGGTCATTCCCCACAGTCCTGTGCTTCTACGTTCATTCGCTTGCCATTTGAATGTTGAACTCTGCGTGTCACGCGTTGGCGGAATCAAGTACCTCTTCAAGTATGTGTGCAAGGGACAAGACCGAGTGACCATGGAAATCACTGCCGAGAACGAGCGCTACGACGAGATCTCCAACTTCCAAGATGCCAGATACGTTTCGGCATCGGAGGCCGCATGGAGGTTATTCTCCTTTGACATTGTAGATCGCAATCCTCCAGTAGTCAGGCTTGCAGTGCATCTGCCCAACCACCACACGGTTTACTTTGAGGAAGGGCGAGAGCAGGAGGCGGCGCTTCGACCAGCAACAGGCACGAAGCTGACCGAGTGGTTTAAAGCCAACGAGAAGTACCCAAGCGCGCGGCATATTCGGTACCACAAGTTTCCAAGGTACTTTACATGGAAGACACGCACCAAGTCATGGAGTCCAAGAGCAACCCTGCGAAGACGAAACGCCACCAGCGAAGAGGAAGCCTACGATTTCAGTGGTACAGGTGCCAACGTAGTCGGTCGAATCTACACTGTCAGTCCGAGGGAGGGTGAGCGCTACTTTCTTCGCCTCCTCCTCACACAAGTGCCAGGGGCAACATCCTTCGAGAACTTGCGAAATATCGACGGCGAGCAGTGCACCAGCTTCCGACAAGCTTGCTTACGACTCGGTTTGCTGGCCGACGATGCCGAGTGGAAGCACGCAATCCGAGATTCATTCCGGTCAAGCTTCGTTCCTCTTTCTCATCTGTTTGCTACGATTCTGGCACACTGCCAGCCTTCGGACCCTCTCTCGCTGTGGAACGACCACCTGGACATGTTTCTCACCGATATTCGCAATCGTGCACGCAGACAACCCATTCGAAGACAGCAGCTTCGCGATGATCACCACGCCACATCTTACGTACTTCGAGAGGTACAGGAGGCTCTGCAGACCGTGCGATCCGACTGGACGCTCGCAAACTTCGGACTCCCACTGCCCGATGACAGCCTGCCCGCTTTGGAACAGCAAAACGAGATCGAGACCCCCGAAGCTAGAGCGCAGCAGTGGGAAGGGCGACTACAGACGTCGTTGCCGCTGTTGAACACAAATCAACGCCATGCCTTTGACGAAATAGTGGGCTCCATGCTTCCAGGCGTATCCGTCTTTGCATTGCTTCAAGGATCGTCAAGCGCCGTGGCGGGACCTCCTATGCCGACACGAAGTGGTCGTCTCTTCTTCCTCGATGCTCCTGGCGGAACAGGCAAACATTCGTGCTCAGAGCCATTCAAAACTTCCTTCGTACGCGCCGTAAGCAGGTCATCGCTGTCGCTACGTCTGCTGTTGCTGCTGTGCTGCTCGACGGTGGACGCACATCTCATTCCGTGTTCAAGATTCCCATTCCTGTATCTGCCGAAAGCACGTGCAGCTTCTCCGCAAACTCCGACACAGGCCGTACACTGCAACAAGTCGATCTCATCATATGGGACGAGATCGTCATGTGCCATCGACATTGCATTGAGACTGTCGATCGCTCCCTTCGAGACTTGATGCAAACCGACCGGCCCTTCGGAGGAAAGTTCCTCGTGCTCGCTGGAGACTTTAGACGAATCCTTCCCGTCGTTACGGGCGGGTCCCGAGGTCAAATCGTGAGCGCGTGCGTCAAGGCTTCCCCGCTGTATCGAGAGTGCCGATTCCTGCGCCTTACCGAGAACATGCGCCTTGCTGCTCTCCGAGCGGACCCTGCAGCAGATGTGGAGGCTCTCAACTTTCCAGAATTCCTCCTCAGCGTCGGGGAAGGCAGACTTCAAGGCGAACAGCGCCCGGAATGGATCTCACTACCACAGTCCGTTGCGTTCGAGCACACCATCCGCAATTTATGCCTCAAGGTCTTCCAAGGGATTCGAGACAATCACGCCGACCCTGCCTGGCTCACCAAGCGCGTTATACTCACCACAAAGAACAGGCCGCTCGAGGAAGTCAACGAGGTCATCGGCAACATGATTCCGGGATCGTATCGAACGTATTTGAGCGCAGACAAGGTCGAGAACGAAGACACCAACGCGCTAATCTATCCCACAGAAATGCTCAACACCTTGACCGCCGGATCTGCTCTACCAGACCACAAGCTCAAGCTCAAGAAAGGCTTCAACGTCATGCTTCTGCGCAATCTCGATCCCGCTACCGGTCACGTCAACGGCGCGCGATATGTCATCGAGAACATGACCAACAACCTGCTCTTTCTACGCGTTACCACCAGGTCACACCAAGGCAACAGACTGTGTCTTCCTCGAATGCCCTGCGGACCAGGAGACGACAAATTTCCCATCCCTGGCTTCACCCGAACGCAGTTCCCCATTCGCACGTGCTTCGCCCTTACAACGAACGAAGCGCAAGGCCAATCCTTCGGTGACCGCATTGGTCTCGACTTACGAGATCACTGCTTCTCGCACGGTCAACTCTACGTCGCACTATCAAGGACTACTCACCCAGGGAACGTCACTGTCCTCACTCGAGAGTCCAATGAAACAACGCGAAACATAGTGTACCCCGAGGTCCTTCAGTAGTTACCAAAAAAAGTAAACGCCATTGTCTTTACATCTTTTCATTGCCACCCTTCCCAAATAGTGTTCCTCCACGCTTTCTTGGCTCGGCGCGCGAAGCGCGCACGGAGCCCACTTGTATAATCTAAAAATGTTCCAGTGTCAAGTCGAACTAGCATGAATTATTTAGAATTATTCATGAAAATAAAAAAGTTATTCTTTTTTCCCCATCCAAAGAATAAGTTATTCTTTAGGAATTATTTAAATTATTTAAATATGAATATATTTTTGATATCCTTTGTGAGGGATGCTTGCATTAAGATATCGTTTGGAACTGGGCTGGTGTGCTTGGGTTGCGCTCCGCGAACTTCGCATAAAAGGACATTGAATTTCACTGCACTTGAGCGCGGTCGAGGAAATGACGCTCTTCTGCTTTCTTGAAGAAAAAAAAGCAACTGCAAGGGATATTGGGCAACGACCTTCGACCTTAATTGGTGTAGAACAATTGGTGCCCACGATGTAGTGAACATTTTTATGGTAGTTGACGGCCTGAAGTGCTCACAAACACTTCAACCCGCGATTTCTGACGAAGCAGGCTGTCAACGGAGCGTGAGTCCGTACCAAGGCGCTTCATATGCCTCAAGAAAGTATCCCACATTGCTCTCATATCCGTCTTTTCCTTCCAAGGTTCAGGGGTCATTCTGGAACCGCGTATATTGCGCGGTTACCGATGCGTTCCTCATTCTCAGCCTGAAGACAACTCCTACTCTTCGATTGGTGCGCCTTCGCATCTGGGAGTGCTGTGTACTATCCCATAATCACACAACTGAGGGACATTCCATTCATCGTGATTGGCAATCATGCAATCACGCAATCACGCGATCACGACATTAATTTAACGTCTTTCTGCAAGTTGGAGCACAAGATTAATTTTAAGTCGATCGTTTATTTCTGTAATGAGCATGACCAATTTTTAGGAAACGTAATATAAACAACCAACCACAAGGGAGCAGCCACTATTTATTGACGTGATTGCGTGATTGCGTGATTGCCAATCACGATGAATGGAATGGCCCTGAGAGATGAGCACCCCACATACACAACATGAAGATTGCGGTGCGGTTGCTGTCATTCACAGCAAGGGTAGATGCCTATGGCAACCTGCCGATTCCTATCAATATGACACTACTGTAGACGCTCTCACAAACCGCTCATCCACCTATCTGTATACTAAAATCGTTGTCTGTGTGTCTGTCTGTATGTCCTTGCGCTCCCGCGTTGCCATTGGCGCACGGGGGCGGCGCCGCGGTGACAAGTGGCGGCCACGTGCGGGGCGTCCTGGCCGCAGGCCAGGCCGCCACGGGGACACGTGGCGTCCTGGCCGCAGTGCAGGCCGCCACGGGGACACGTGGCGTGACAAGTGGCGCGCCCCGAGTCACAAATGGCGACACCTGGCGGTAAAATTAATTTTATTTTGAATTTCGAACTGTTACACCAATGCGGCACTACAGTAGCGTGCCGGTGACAAGTGGCGACACGTGGCGGCGCCCCTGGTGACAAGTGGCGGTGAGGCGAAAGCGCGCACGAATAGAAACCTTTTTTACATAGCGGCACGTCGGCAGCACAGTACCGGCTTTCGAGTTCAACAACCTTCAGCAATTTTTCACCACGTGACGATTCCCTGGTAGCGTGGTGACCAGAGTCGGGGCAAGGCAGCGATCGTGATTCTATGCCGGCTTAGTAGTGGGTTGAATACGGCATTCCCCGCGAAAAGTTTACCGGATTGCTTGACGGCATCCGGATAGTCCCTAGGTGCTATTGCGCTTTGCTTTTAGTAAAGCGTGGTAGTCTGCCGCTGTGCAGGAAGCCTAATCCGATAGCACACCATTTCTTGGTGTTGTAGTATCGGGCTCGGAACAACGGCCTCCGCAGAGCAATCTGCGGACGTCGGACTGACGTTGTTTTCAACGTCGACAACGAAGATCAAACGCAGCCTCCGTCAAACTATAGAGGCTGCAAGAAGACCCAGTGTAGGTGCCGTTAGGGCTTGGGAAACCTAACCACCGCACTGAGGGAAAAGGGAGCGCGCGTACATAGCGACCCCGGCGGGAAGAGCCTTGCAAGAGGTTCTTTCTAATACCGGGCTCCCTGGGAGTAGAAATAGACAAGGTGGTCGTACTCTGAGTATTAATACTGTACCCTGTGTATACTAGGACCATTAGTCTATTTCTATTTCTATTTCGTTTTTGGTTCTTTTGAATCACGGGATAGTACAAGACATTAAAGGCCCTATATTGTTACTCTTTTGCTAAGTGCTCTTGCGGACGACCTAGCTGGCTGACGTTGCGTTTAGACCTTTGAGGACTGCTTGCTACGACTCATAGCGATCTACAACGGACCCCTCGCACTTGCGTCAACCCTAGCTGCACTTGCAGGGATAACACTAGCGCGCCAAGCAGAACATAAATGGCGGGAACAGCGGGCGAAGACGTGGCAGAAGCAAGACGGCAGCAAAGAAACGCGCGTGCAAGGGAAAGAAGAGCGCAAGAGTCTGAATCTGACGCTCAAGCACGTCGTGAGGCACGTCGAGCCCGTGCGAGAATCCGGACGGGGCAACAAACCGAATCTCAGAGGGAAGCGCGTCGTCAAGCCGACCGTGAACGTGCTGCAGCACGAAGAGCAGCAGAGACGTCTGAGCAGCGCGAGGAGCGTCTCAGTCGACTGAGGGAGAGAGCCAGGGCCCGCAGAGCGGGAGAAACCACCCCCCTCCGAAATGCGCGGCGCGAAGCGGATCGCATTGCGACACGAGGCACTAGAGCGGAGGAATGTACTCCTATTCGTGAGGGGCGGCGAGAATCGAATCTTATTGCAACGCAAAGAGGCCGAGCCGAGGAAAATACTCCAATGATATCTTCGAGACAGGAGTCGAATCGCTTGGCAATGCGACAAGCGAGAGCTGTGGATATATCCCCCGTCATTGCTGCGCGGCAAAGATCCGACCGCCAGGCTCGAAGTGCCTCTCGACAGCTCTTCCCTCCACTACCCGAGTCCTTTCCTTCGTACCGCGATCTCGGCATGATCCGTGTTGAGTGTTCGCACTGCAAAGCTCTGCATTTCGTCCAAGAACGCATCGGGAGCAGCTCTGCCGCAAGGCCCATTTTTCCACATGCTGTGGGAAGGGGAAGCTGTCATTGCCGCTTCTCCCCGACCCGCCAGCTCTTCTGCGCTCTCTTCTCATCGATGATACTCCAAGGGCCTGCAGCTTCCGTAAGAACATTCGAGCATACAATGTAGCGCTATCGATGGCATCCGTGGTCGCCAAATGGGTGAACAGAGGTCCCGGTCCTTCTAATTTTAACCCCACAATGACGATGCAGGGCGGGATGTACCATTACATGGGTCCCATGATGCCATCCGAAGGGCGGGCGCCTTCCTATGCTTCCGTTTACATTCATGACACTGACTACGCCACCCAGACGCGCACAAGGCTTGGAACCTCTAGACAACTGGAAGAGGCACTGATGACGCAACTGACACACATGCTGCACGAATGCAACCCCTACGTGCAGACGTTTCTGTGTATGCGAGAATGGGCTCAATCTCCTCACAACAACTGTCCTGCCACGTACCAGATGGTCATCCATGCCGACCGCAGGCCAAGTCATGAGCACGTGCGCCGGTACAATGGTCCCGAAGCTTCTGAAGTCGCCGCATTGATCCCTGGAAATGAAGACGGAGAGATTGGGCGAAGAGATATCGTCGTGCGCAGGAGAGGGACTCTGAACAGTAACGGGAACGAAGTGCTGGATCCGATTTCAGTCAGTCATCGCGCATACGATCCATTGAGTTACGTGCTTTTGTTCCCGAACGGTAGAGATGGATGGTATCCAGAGCTTCGATTCTCCAGTGTTCAAGACGGCAGACGTACCAAGATTACTCCGATGATGTACTACGGATGGCATTTGTTCGAAAGATCAGGCGAGTTCAGCACAATCTTGCACGCAGCACGACTCTTTCAGCAATACTTGGTTGACCAGTTCTGCAAAGTGGAGGCAGAAAGGCTTTCTTATCTCCGCCACAACCAGACACAACTTCGAGCCGCCGACTACACCTCACTGCGCGACAGCCTAGGAGACTCCCGTCGTGCTGAAGATGAAGCCGATGCCGTGCGTGCGGGACGACTGTTCATTCTCCCTTCCACGTACATTGGAGGTGACCGCTATATGAGGCAGCAGATGCACGACATCATTGCTATATCGAACCAAATTGGCCACCCGGACATCTTCCTCACCATGACATGCAATCCAAGCTGGCCGGAGATCACAAGAGCCCTACTGCCGAACCAAACGCCTCAGGACAGACCGGATCTGTGCGCACGTGTGTTTCGTCTCAAAATGAAAGATCTCATGTCCTTGGTCATCAACGAAGAAGTATTCGGAACCGTTGTTGCCCATGTACGAGTCATCGAGTTTCAGAAACGCGGTCTTCCCCACGCTCACGTTGTATTTTTCCTAGATGAAGTCTCCAAGAATGATCTGCGTACTCCCGAAAACGTCGACCGCATTATCTCTGCCGAGATCCCGTCTGCCCAAGATCCAGAACTCCAAGAGGTCGTGCTCAAGCATATGATTCACAATCCATGTGGAGAACACAATCCAACAGCCGTGTGCATGGGCGAGCGGTACTGCAGGAAAGGGTTTCCAAAATCGTTCAAACACGAAACCAGCCAGTCCGACAGTGAGTACTACATCACGTACCGAAGAAGGGCACCCTCTGCAGGTGGCGTCTCCATCGAGCGACCCTCCCGTATTGGCCGACGACAGCAACCCGTCGTGGTAGACAACTCCTGGGTCATTCCCCACAGTCCTGTGCTTCTACGTTCATTCGCTTGCCATTTGAATGTTGAACTCTGCGTGTCACGCGTTGGCGGAATCAAGTACCTCTTCAAGTATGTGTGCAAGGGACAAGACCGAGTGACCATGGAAATCACTGCCGAGAACGAGCGCTACGACGAGATCTCCAACTTCCAAGATGCCAGATACGTTTCGGCATCGGAGGCCGCATGGAGGTTATTCTCCTTTGACATTGTAGACCGCAATCCTCCAGTAGTCAGGCTTGCAGTGCATCTGCCCAACCACCACACGGTTTACTTTGAGGAAGGGCGAGAGCAGGAGGCGGCGCTTCGACCAGCAACAGGCACGAAGCTGACCGAGTGGTTTAAAGCCAACGAGAAGTACCCAAGCGCGCGGCATATTCGGTACTACAAGTTTCCAAGGTACTTTACGTGGAAGACACACACCAAGTCATGGAGTCCAAGAGCAACCCTGCGAAGACGGAACGCCAGCAGCGAAGAGGAAGCCTACGATTTCAGTGGTACAGGTGTCAACGTAGTCGGTCGAATCTACACTGTCAGTCCGAGGGAGGGTGAGCGCTACTTTCTTCGCCTCCTCCTCACACAAGTGCCAGGTGCAACATCCTTCGAGAACTTGCGAAATATCGACGGCGAGCAGTGCACCAGCTTCCGACAAGCTTGCTTACTACTCGGTTTGCTGGCCGACGATGCCGAGTGGAAGCACGCAATCCGAGATTCATTCCGGTCAAGCTTCGTTCCTCTTTCTCATCTGTTTGCTACGATTCTGGCACACTGCCAGCCTTCGGACCCTCTCTCGCTGTGGAACGACCACCTGGACATGTTTCTCACCGATATTCGCAATCGTGCACGCGGACAACCTATTCGAAGACAGCAGCTTCGCGATGATCACCACGCCACATCTTACGTGCTTCGAGAGGTACAGGAGGCCCTGCAGATCGTGCGTTCCGACTGGACACTCGCAAACTTTGGACTCCCACTGCCCAATGACAGCCTTCCCGCTTTGGAACAGCAAAACGAGATCGAGACCCCCGAAGCTAGAGCGCAGCAGTCGGAAGAGCGACTACAGACGTCGTTGCCGCTGTTGAACACAAATCAACGCCATGCCTTTGACGAAATAGTGGGCTCCATGCTTCCAGGCGTATCCGTCTTTGCATTGCTTCAAGGATCCTCAAGCGCCGTGGCGGGACCTTCTATGCCGACACGAAGTGGTCGTCTCTTCTTCCTCGATGCTCCTGGCGGAACAGGCAAAACATTCGTGCTCAGCGCCATTCAAGACTTCCTTCGTACGCGCCGTAAGCAAGTCATCGCTGTCGCTACGTCTGCTGTTGCTGCTGTGTTGCTCGACGGTGGACGCACCGCTCATTCCGTGTTCAAGATTCCCATTCCTGTATCTGCCGACAGCACGTGCAGCTTCTCCGCAAACTCCGACACTGGCCGTACACTGCAACAAGTCGATCTCATCATATGGGACGAGATCTTCATGTTCCATCGACATTGCATTGAGACTGTCGATCGCTCCCTTCGCGACTTGATGCAAACCGACCGGCCCTTCGGAGGAAAGTTCCTCGTGCTCGCTGGAGACTTTAGACAAATCCTTCCCGTCGTTCCGGGCGGGTCCCGAGGTCAAATCGTGAGCGCGTGCGTCAAGGCTTCCCCGCTGTATCGAGAGTGCCGATTCCTGCGCCTTACCGAGAACATGCGCCTTGCTGCTCTCCGAGCGGACCCTGCAGCAGATGTGGAGGCTCTCAACTTTCCAGAGTTCCTCCTCAGCGTCGGGGAAGGCAGAATTAACGCCGAACAGCGCCTGGAATGGATCTCACTACCACAGTCCGTTGCGTTCGAGCATACCATCCGCAATTTATGCCTCAAGGTCTTCCAAGGGATTCGAGACAATCACGCCGACCCTGCCTGGCTCACCAAGCGCGTTATACTCACCACAAAGAACAGGCCGCTCGAGGAAGTCAACGAGGTCATCGGCAACATGATTCTGGGATCGTATCGAACGTATTTGAGCGCAGACAAGGTCGACAACGAAGACACCAACGCGCTAATCTATCCCACAGAAATGCTCAACACCTTGACCGCCGGATCTGCTCTACCAGACCACAAGCTCAAGCTCAAGAAATGCTTCATCGTCATGCTTCTGCGCAATCTCGATCCCGCTACCGGTCACGTCAACGGCGCGCGATATGTCATCGAGAACATGGCCAACAACCTGCTCTTTCTACGCGTTACCACCGGGTCACACCAAGGCAACAGACTGTGTCTTCCTCGAATGCCCTGCGGACCAGGAGACGACAACTTTCCCATCCCTGGCTTCACCCGAACGCAGTTCCCCATTCGCACGTGCTTCGCCCTTACAACGAACAAAGCGCAAGGCCAATCCTTCGGTGGCCGCATTGGTCTCGACTTACGAGATCACTGCTTCTCGCACGGTCAACTCTACGTCGCACTATCAAGGACTACTCACCCAGGCAACGTCACTGTCCTCACTCGAGAGTCCAATGAAACAACGCGAAACATAGTGTACCCCGAGGTCCTTCAGTAGTTACCAAAAAAAGTAAACGCCATTGTCTTTACATCTTGTCATTGCCATCCTTCCCAAATAGTGTTCCTCCACGCTTTCTTGGCTCGGCGCGCGAAGCGCGCACGGAGCCCACTTGTACGGTAACTAAAAATGATTACTGTACTAACCCACCGATCGGTCGCGCACCACGTGTACACCTGCACTAGCTGGTGTCACTAACTACACGTGGACTCTCACGTGGCCACATCTACACGTGTGGCCGTGTATGCACCGTATCGGTTAACATCGTACTACTGTACTTGGCGAGGCCCCTGGCGCCCGCCTAGTACAGTAGCGCCACTTGGCAATGGTACCACAGACCCCCCGTCTTAAGTGACGGCACGTCCTCGTGCCGACCGGTCGGGTTTCGTATCTCCCCTGCAAGCCGTCCCGACGACCGTGCTTGGCACGTCTATTCCGTTATCGGTATCTGCCGCCGCCTTCCTGGCCGACGATCGCACCGCGTTCACTTCTTCCGTAATGGGCAATCGCCGGCGCCCCGGTCGGGCAGCTCGGCGGTCTTTCGCTCGGCTATATAAGCCGGGCGAGGATTCCCATGCGGTCGAGACTCCGTCTCCCTCATGCGATCGACCCTCATCCGTACTAGCCTCATCTCTTCCCAACCAGACGGTACGAGCTACTCCTACAACTTCTTCTGTCCTTGTTATCTCACCGATGTCAGAACAGGTGAATAACCCGACGGTTCCGGCGGTGGATCCGCCGGCGGTACGGTCGAGGGCTGAGGCGACACCGCCCCGCTCTCCCATACTGAGACCGCTGCGGAGTACCCCCGTACCGCGTCTCCCGTCGTCCACCCGAGCGGTGCGTCGGTTGAGAGCAGCAACGGTAACACCGGCCTCTCCTGACCCGCTCGACAGGGCGGACCGTTCAACGGTGATCAGAAGGCCCCGGAGGAACCGCGGTGTGCGAGCCAATCGGGCAATGAGTCTACGAGAGATGGCCCGCCGGGCGTTCCCCGGTCAAGAACTCGACCACCGCTGGCTGCGCACGGGGCGGCCATCTGCCGCTCCGGAGCCCCCGCTAACTGTCACGGAGTACAGTAGGCGTTTCCATCGGTACCTCGACGCGGCGCGGTTTGCGCCGATCCCCGTTAAACGTGGGGCCCGCAGCCGGTCGGTGAAACGCCACGAAGGTCGGCGGACCCAAGGCGAGGCCTGGATCGACCGCTGACGCCATTCGCCGTGTCGGGTTTTGGCCGACTCAGGAAGTGACATCATGTATGTCCGCTGCCCCGAGGAGGTGGGGTACCACAAGGCCCTGTTGCCGTTGCTCGCCCGGTTCAGCCGTGCGGACCAAGCGGTCCCCCATGCTCGGTTGGTGGCCTTCCCCCGCCTGATATAGGATTGGTACAGCGTCGCCAACCGTCGCCGGTGAGGCGAAGACGCCGCACTGGAGAGCCGCCTCTGCTGGCGAGGTATGGATTTCTTCTTCTACCTCTGGCACTGGACGGAATTCTTCTCCGTGCCAGTCCAAGCGCGGTCGAAGTTCTATCCGCACCTGCCCACCGACTGGTCCGATTTTGAGGCGCCCGAGCACCTCTGCGTGCCGACGCCCATTGTGATGGCGTACGTCGCCTCACGGTGGCTTTCAGGCTCTCGGACCGCAGTGGATAACCAGCAGCGAGCGCTGGTCCGTGCCATCACGCTGTCAGAGTGGGCAGCTGTCGTGCGCCACTGCTTCCTCCGTGCGGTGTGCGAGGGGATGCCGTTCTTCACGCGCTGTCCCGTCCCGCGCCTGGACGCGCGCCGGCATCAACCCTTCCCGGGCGTGCTCGTCCGCCTGCAACCGTCTTTGGTTGCATTGATCCGATCGATGGGGATAGCCGACTACACCGATCAGCTCTTGGAATTCACCCTTCACCGGCCGTAAAGGGACGACGCAGACTTTATCTCGTACGATTACCGTACCGGGTTCATCCCTCACATGCCTCGGCGTGGGGAGGAAGAACCGGAGGGTCCTCATGAAAACCGCGACCAGTCGGTCATATTGGGGTCACCAGGTCTCCCTCTCGAGGAGGCCCCCACGGCGATACCCGCCCAAGCGGGGCTGCCGGCGGTATCGCACCTCAACGGACTTGGAAGGGAGTGGGGCTCAATGGGTCCCGCTCCCCCGCAGGAGACCTTACCGAATTTACCCCAGCTCCCCACCTCGGTGGTAGTCGAGGAGGCACTCAGTGCCCCATTGGATCCGCCTACAGGGCCACGGAGGTCCACGAAGAAATGAAGAGGCCCCCACCACCCCCGCTGGGCCCGGTGGAGGTCGTCGAGATTGCCGACGAGACCCCCTTGGGGGCTGGTGAGGCTCCCAGGTTGCCATTCGCCGGGGTGACCGGGTCGGAAATTCCGTCTTGGAAGACAGAGTCTCTGCCGCCTTCGCTGGATAGCAGTTCTCCGCTCGGGCCACTGCCAGTTCGCGGCGTGGCAGCGACATTGGCGCCCTACCTGGGTTCCCCAAGCGACAGTTCCTCGGCTGCGTGGACCTCCCGACTTGGGGTCGGAGCGCGCACTCCCATGCGCGACCGCTGGGCCAACGCGGGGCCTCTGCCGGCGCGCTCACCTTCGTCGAGGGAGGACCGGGATCCGACACGGCTTCCGCCGGTTGTGGGCGGGGCGGAGCCTCCGCCGGCCGCCTCGTCCTCTTCCGCGACGAGTGAGAATCCGATACGGTCCCCGCCAGCAGCGGGCGGGTCATCCCAGCCCATGCCGCCATCACCCGCCGGGTTTCGTCCCGAGGCGGAAATAGGTGCCTTCGCGGTTCTACAGTACGCATGTTCGTACGAGAACCTCGAGGTGCCTTCAACCGTGACGGATGCGCTCGTGGCCGCTCGCTAGTGGCTCCACACCTTGCGCCAACGTCACGCAGAACTTGCGGAGGCGCGCCGTCAGCTCTCAATTTTGGAGAGCGAGGCCGCAGAGGGTGCGACCCTCGTCCGGACGGCTGCGTCAACAATTGATCAGCTCGGTCGAGTCATCTCCGGGCGCCGCAAGCGCGGGGCCGAGATGCCACCTGCGCCAGGTTTCACCAATCCGTCTTCTGGGGCGAGCATGGCGGGGCCCCTGACGGTTTGGCCGAGGGCGTCCGCTCGCCCAAGCGCGCGAAACTCAAATAGGCGCTATTCCGTGACGGTAGTTCCCAACCCGATAGTACCCCAATAAAACATCTGCCTTCTCCGTCTCGTCTCTCCTTGCCTGCGCGGACCTCCATGAGGGGAGGCCTCGTCGACTCTCCAAGCGTGCGCGCGGGAGTAGGCGCAGCTCCGGTGGTCGGTACGTGCAGGGCGCCCCCCTCCCGGTCTGATGCCACTGCGTTTTCCTTCACGGAAAATCGGCCTTTTTCTAGGTAAAATACGCCTGATTTTTCCGTTCAGGGAGTGGCTTTTTGCCTTTTTGACGAGCTCAGATTGGGTGGTCCTCCAAATCGGAGGCGTTCTGAACAGCTACCCATGCGCCGCCGTGCGCCGTCATTGGCTGCGGCCATCGGGTACAGTACCGTATGCACCACATGTACTGTACCCCGGGCCATTCCGTGTCGGTGATTGGGTTTGAAGACGGCATGGCCTCACGGCGGCTCGTCCCCATCCTCTATCATCCACGGTCGGCCTCTTGAGGTGCTCATGGACCTGAGCGCTCCCCTGGAGGTCCCTGGAGGGTACCGTTCGGTTGCGCACCGCTTTGCAGAGCGCCAGGTACAGACCCAGGCCCTACCCGGAGGGCTACAGCGTCTCCCCATAAGCAGGCGCTCCTCCGGGGTAGTGGTGCCAACGTACCGATGCACGCCACTCCCCCGGAGGGCTGGCCATTTTGCCAACTCGGACGCCCATCTTTTCCACCGGCGCGTACAGTACGCAGGGGTCTCGACCATTGTGGTTGCGGGGAGACCCCCCTGGCCTCGTTAGGTCCCTTTCCGTGGCGCGTACTGGTGCGCCGCAGGCAATTTCGCCGACGACCCCGATTTGGAAAGTGTAAAAACCACTAGAAACCAATAACAATTGATCTCGTTTCCAAATCGGTTGACACCTCGCCATGACCGCCTTTTTAGAGTTGATACTCCCGGGTCCGACTTGACGCGATAAGCACGATGCCGTTCTCGGAAGTGGACTACGAGTTTTATTGAGCCCGCTAGGGGCTCAAACGTAGCCCGAACTTCGACTTAATTGCCGAACCGAACGGTGTCACCCCTCACAATTTGGTCCCCGGATTTTTGCCGCAGGTCACCACCAGTACGGGAATCACATTTGGCAATTTTTGCCACGTGTCGAGGGTCGTGCCGCCGCTGCAGGTATCCGAGACGGTATTTATCTTGGGCACCGCGAGCGTGCCGTAGCTCCCCATCGTCGACCATGGTCGACCTCGGGGGACATCTAGTGACCTAGGCGATCCCCCTGAGGTCCCTGGACTTCACCGTCTCGGATTACACGCCTGATAGGCGGCGTGTACAGCATTTGACACACGGCACCTCCCCGGAGGGCTGGCCAATTTTGTAACTCAGGCCCTTAGTTCGGGGGTGATGGAGTCGACTGCCAGCCGTAGTTTAGAGGGTGTAAAGCCCATCGTAGTGCGTATAGTTCCGAGCGGTAGTGATGTTCCCGTAGTCGACTTCCGCCCCCCGCATGCCCTCCATGCCGGTGGTCTCAACCGGTACAGTATCCGGGAGACCCCCTTTCTTAGCTTGCTCCACCGAGCGGAATTTTAAGCTCGGTGGGTTTGCCAATACCGATCGATAAAGGCTTGTGGTAGGCCCTCCGCGGGTTCGAATGTATCATCCGCGGGGGTGTAGCCATACCACCGCACTTTGTATTCCAAACCGGTAGGGGTGTCGCGATGCGCTACGAGACGCTCGACGACGAACTCTTCGGGGGTATTAGCACCGTCCCCATGGGGAGGGTTAATCCGTTCGGAAGGGGCCCTTATGCCTCCTGTAGGCATGGTCCAGTCCCCCGGGCCCCACGGCATCTGCATGACGCGGTCAATACTGAATCGTACGGGAAGCCCGTCTTCCTCCACAGTAACGGTCGTGTCCGTGGCTTGGCGGACCCGAAAGGGTCCTTCCGTCTTCGGTAAAAGCTTGACGGACATGTCGTCCGTCCCAAGACCCTGTCCGTCACGGCCACGTCGTTCAGCCGCTCGGAGGGCTCAGGGAGGACGATCCACGTAGACTTGGTCGCCCTGTTGTATTACCGGTCGGAATCGGACTTTCTTTTCGAAGTTCTCCTTATACCGCTTCTGGGCCGCGGTCATCTTTACCCGCGCACTGTCGAGGACATCCCGAAGCTTGCGAAGAGTCGCCCGCTTGTACTTCCAGGAGTACGTGGGTCGTCATGGGCGACGCCCGCAGCCTGGGGCGCTGTACCCACGACGGTTAATCCGGACGGTTGTCTTGTCAACACCAGGTGGACTTGTATGTTATAAGCATACGTCAGAGGCTTGGGGAAGTCGTCCCAGTCTCGCTGGTGCTCCTCGACATAATGTCGGAGCCTCTGTACGATGGTCTTATTAAACCGTTCGGTCTGCCCATTAGCTTGCTGGTGGTAGGCTGTCATCAAATAGTGACATATCCCTAGCAGCGCGCACACGGCGTCGAAGAACTTCGCCGCAAATTGCGGACCGTTATCGGTAAGGACGTACTGTGGTGCTCCGTAGACGTACACTCAGTTGTCCAGGAATGCGTTAGCCATCACGCCTGCCGTTGTCGTACGAAGCGCGATACTGCACGTGAGCTTGGAGAACAGGTCGGTAATCACAAGGACGAACTGATTCCCATGTGCGGTCTTCGGTAACGGACCCAGGAGGTCCATTGCGACAAACTCCAAGGGTCCGGCAGCGGGGAATAGTTTTATGTCCTTTTGATGACGTACAATCGTGCTCCGTGTCGCAGAGCACGATTGACAGTTCCGTACGGTGGAGTACACGTTGTTGGCCATGTGGGGCCAGTAGTACTCCCTTCTCAGGGTATCGTACATCCTGGTCCCACCAGGATGTCTGGCCAACCTCGGGGGGTGTGCCAAATACAGTACCTTGGCCCCTAACCGTTTCGGGACGACGCGTTGCAGTGTCCCATCAAGAGGGGACCTCCGCACCAGGAAACCGTAACGGTCCACGTCATACTATGACTCTGGCTCTCCGACGGTCCGGGCGGCATGGATGCAGAACTGGTGCACCGCCTGTGGTTGGATAAATTCCTCAACCGACAAGGACGATACGTCCGTTTGTTCGGGAGTTACGGCAAGGGCCTGGGGCCTCTCTCGCGTATTCTCAGGACTCCGTTCGGTAGGTGGGGCCCATTCAATACCGACGGGCCCCACGTTAGGGTCCTGTCTTGACACCTGAACGACGAAGCACGGGAATTCGTCGTCTACCCCGGCGGTTTCCCCTTTGTCCATCCGGAGGCGAGATACCCCATCCGCTAATTGGTGTTTGACACCCAGCCGGTATTGTACGTCGTAGTTGTACTCCGCCAGGCGTAACCGCCGGCGGGCGAGCCGGCCGGAGCTGTCCGCCAAATTAAGGACCCACCGGAGGGCCTCATGGTCCGTTCGGAGCTTGAATGTGGCACCGTACAGGTAAGGGCGTAATGCCAGGATGTTCCAGACGACTGCAAGGCACTCTTTCTCGGTCTTCATGTAATTCTTCTCAGCATCCGTGAGACTACAGCTCCAGTAGCCAATCGGTAACTTGTCTCCGTTCGGTTGGTCTTGCAGCAGGGAACACCCCACTTGGTACGCACATGCGTCCGTGTCGAGTGTTTACTTGTAACCGTGACGGGGTAGAGCCAAGATGGGCGGTGAGACCAGCCTCTTCTTTAGCTCGGCAATGGCCTCATATTCCGAATCGGATAGGACTCCTAGTTCGAAGGGGTGATCCTTGCTCGTCTTCCTATTAAGGGGAGCGGCAATTTTGGCGAAGTTCGGGACGAACTGCCTGTAGACATTGCACATCCCCAGGAAGAAGCATAATTCCGTTTGGTCCGCCTCCGCAGGTCAGCGCTGGTACGTCACCCAGCGCTGCGCCCGGGCCTCGAGGCGTAGATCGGCCCGCGCGTGCGCGAGTCCCCGACCGTACCCGCTCTACCACTGCTACCCGGGTTCGACCGGTTCCGTTGGCTGCGGTTGCTTCCCTTCTCCGATCAGGGTCTAGCGGGACTGTGCATACACCCCCCCAACGTTGGGGTGTTTATGCTACACTATTGCAGTCCTCCTCGGCGACTTCAACTTGCCAGTATCCACTATTGCAATCAAGCGTAGTGAATGCTGTAGCGTTGCCGAGTGAGTCGATGCACTCATCCATTAGCGGTAGGGGATAGGAATCCCGGATGGTAAGTGCGTTTAGCTTGCAGTAGTCCACACAGAACCGCATGGTACCGTCCTTTTTGAGTACAAAGATCATAGGACTGGCCCATTCTGCCGTGGCCGGCTCGATGACGCCGGCTCGCAGCATGCGGTTAACCTCGGGTTTTCCTTCTCCCGTGCGGTTGGACCAGCCCGGTACGGAGCTTTGTAGATGGGATTGGCCCCCGCCTTGAGGTCGATGCGGTGCTTGGTAGCACCAATCTTCCCGAGGCGGCCATTCTACATCTCCTTGAATTCGGAGAGCATAGCTACTATTTTTCGCGTATCTCTCCATCTTCCTCACCGATGTGGACATCCTCGGTCCACATTCGGGGGGCTTCATCCGTGTCGGTTCTCTCCTGTTCTTCTTCCGTATCGGACTTGTCTTTTCCCGCATACTGTACGGTACCCAAGGAGGATACTGTAGGGGGAAGATTATTTTTGTTTCCTCCCCCCTCCTTAGCTTGAGCCACTCCTGTGGCTGGCTGAAGAGTTAGGATGTGGGTCGGCGATCGTAGCGCGAGTCCGATAACGGTGTGTTTGGGGAGATGGACCACATTATGGCTAAAATTGCTAATTATTACCGAAAACGGAATGGCTGGCTTTACATCCATGACTCCCTGCGCCATAAGCGACAGGTTCTTCTCTGCCGTGCGGGGATGTTTCTGTAAGAAGCAGAGCCCGGCGACCAGCGTCGCCATACGTACGGTTGCTTGCGTCATGAGGGAATTGTAATTGCCCGCACCCTGCGTATTTTCCGAGACGGTGTGTTGCTCGGAAACGGCTTGGTTTGTGGCGATTTTCCGTTTCCGTTCGGTGTTCCTTATGAGTAAATTTGGATTGCGTCGTGCCTGTAAGTGCGATTAAGGCTCATTGAGCGATTGGAGGCGTCCACCAGCGGCGCGCTCTTTACCGGACGGATGGCCGCGCGCCATGGTTCGACCACACAGCGTATATGGGTGAGGTTGGGCGCTGCCCCCGAGTCTAGAACTGGGGACAGTGCCCGCATATTCGCTTGTCGCAGCCCTACCGTGGCGGAAACCTTAAAGTTCTGCTTCTTGAAGAAGCAGATAGGTTCCGCTGTGGTCTGCGCTTCTTCCGTTCGGTTCGGTTCTGCTGCCTGAGTTGAGGGGGAAGGATCCTCCGGGGTGAGGCAGACAGGGAGTTTTGACGACGTCGCTTCTACGCGTCCTCCCTGTCTTCCCCCGTGAGTTGAAGATCTTCCTCCTCCTCAGCGACCAGCTTCTCCGCCCCTTCGACGCCCTCGTCCACCAGGTTGACCGGCGTGGTTTGAGATGAGGGATTTTCTCGCCACACCGGTCTCTGTGGACGACTGAATGGAGAACCAGGGCGAAGCCCCTGTCCGATGCGTAACTTTTGATAGTTCGCTTCTCTCGCTGCTAGGAGCTGGGCTCGCAGCGAGGCGTCCGCAACAATAGGGCAGGTTTCCTGTCGGTGAGTGGGGTCCAGACAGAACCGGTACGGAGCAGGTCCCCACCTTGCGCGTTGGTCCTCGCTTCCGTAGCGGCGGCCATAACCGGCTACAGTGGACGTTGGCGCTACAGCCCCTCCCACTGACGGTACCGGAGAAGGATAGAAACATGGTGGCGGCGAGCTTACGGTAATTTCGTGTACTGTGGGGCTCGTCATCGCCAATATTCCATCTGCGTTGCGTGAGGCGCCTGTATAGGCGGCCTCCGACGAGGACTCGGCGGATAACACCGGAGTCTTTCTTACTGAGCGGTTAAAGGCAATCTTGCCTGTCGCGTCACGGGACGCGACGTTCCATGGCAATAAGTGCCGCCTTGCCGAACGGTGTGTCTCCCCGATGGCTTGTGCCTACCAAGCGACTGCCTGGTAGTCTACTGTGGCGAGTGTCGCTAGATAATTCCGCACTTGCGCTCACGTCGCTGGGAGCAATCCCTCGACGTACAGCGACTTGAGCAAACGGTCTGAGAAGACAGTACCGCATCGGAGGGCCTTGTCCCACAGCTGATGCTGCAGGCTCCTTCCGTCATGTTGGAACTCTGACGGAAGGAAACCACTTCGGTGTAGGCCTCGGCGATAGTTTAGTCGGTAGCGTAGGTCCGTAAAAGGAAATTGACTACCTCCTCGTAACTCTCGAGCATGTCGCGTTGCTCGGCGTCCACCGCCATGGTATTACCCATAAGGCGGGACTGCAGTAGAGCATGCGCCTGTACGGTTACGTAGAATTGGAAGCACCATACGGCAGCTCCCTGGCTTACCCCATTATGGTCGCAAGCCATCTTAAACCGGGCAAGGAAGCCCAATACCGCTATCGGATCTTGTCCACTGAACGTGTGAGATTTCATCTGCACGTCCAGCTTCTTGCGGATACGGCTGATGTGCCGCGCGACCTCGGAATTATACCGGGCGCTGCGACGTTCCAATCGGTAGGTCTTGTAATTAACCGCTTTAGTGAATGAATCATTAATCGGTTTAATCACATCGACCCTCTTGGTGGGGCTGACCGTTCGGTAATCCGACGACTTCTACCCGGTCGGCGTCCCTGGTCGTGCGGCTCGGGGTCTGTACTGTAGCCCTCTGAGCCAGACCACTTGTGTCGGTGGCTACGGTCTCGCCGGCTGCCCGGGTGGCGCCGATCTTCGTCGCTGGTCGAATCAGGCGAGCTTCCGTCGGAGGGAAATTCACCTCCTCGATGAAGGGCTCCAGCCCGAGACCTATAGGGACGTGTAGTGCAATGCGCCTGTTAGGCAGAGACCAAGGTCCGACGGTCCAACACAAACAACAGCAACAAAAACAACAACTGCCAACGGCACAGCGCTACGGAGTGTTCGAAGCTCCCTGTCCTCTTTAAGCGGGTTTGCGGCCCGCAGTAGCTCGGATCCCTGATAGGGAGGGGGCAAAGAGAAGGGCCCAGCCCGGGATCGGTAAATGGTGGTAGAGACTTGTAAAGGCGACTGCTCGACGAGTTCGGAGGGGTGTTTAGGTAAACCTGGTCCGATGGGTCGTAAATCCAATGCTCGAAGAGCGCCTTGTACACCTTATACCCTTGATAAGGTCTTCGACGGGGACGTCGCAACGTAGCCCGTCGGGAAAGAAGAAAACGTAGCAGCGCTACACCGTCGTACTGCCGATGGCAAAGTACCAACAACGGATCGGTCGCAACCAGATTCCGATGGAACCAACACTGAGATAAGCACCACTGGTGCACCAACACAAAAGCCCGATGGCAAATGACGTCACGTTGCGGATCGCAATCCTACAAGGTGGGACCAACTCAAGATTAAGGAAAATTAGGATAGGGAAGTAAAGGAAAATTGATAAGGAAAAAAGGGGACCCCCGAGCGCAAAGGATAAAGTAATCTGTAGTTAAAGGGAATGTCTTGTGAAAGACGGACTTCAACCAAGGCGATATCAGACTCTGGCAACTCGGGTTCGATTGGGAAATAAAGGGAAAAGGAATGGGATCCCCGAGCGCTGAAGGATGCCGTAGGCTTAGGTAAAAGGGAGCGTCTTGGTAGAGACGGACTTCGACCAAGGCGACATTCAACTCCGGCAACTCGGGTTACCTTTACTGACTTGGTCGTCAGAGGGCTAAGGTATATATCGCCCCGCCGGAGCCACTACAGTAGCTCTCGGCGCTAGATCCTAGATCTAATCTAATGTTAAATAACTAATATGCAACTAATTAAAATTAATAATTAAAATAATAAAGTGAAATGATTTCCACTTTGCTTGTCATACCCCATCATTTTCATTTCTTTTCACCCCCCTTTTCAGGTGCGTATTGCACTACAGGACGGTAATCTTGCCGGACGGCTTTTCTGTCACCGTACGGTTCTTCTTCGGAGTACTCCTCCTCTTCCTCCGGTAATGGTCCGCGCCTTGTGCGTCGGGACTTGCGACCGTAACGGAAAGACGAGCGATTTTCTGTCTCGCCATACCTCGTCAGATTTTCTGTCTCATGGCGAGGGTGTCTTCCGTCTCGGCCATAGGTCGCGGGGTCCTTGTCTGTCGGACCCGGTGTAACACCCTGAAGTTCGGGCAGGTATATAGGTGGGTCCTTCGGGTGAGGGCCCGCCTCCGGGTGAGGGGCCATATATACCTGTGTCGGTCTTGTATCTCCCGTTCTGGTTCTTATTAATTTAAGAGGTGCCGTAGCGGTCGTAAGAGGTTGAGGTGCCTCAGCTACAGTACCGTTGGGATTGAAGTTGGCGAGGCGAGCTTCGACAGCTATGTTGATAGCTGTCTGGAGGCTCAGCCCCAACGGTATGAGATGATCTCCGGGGTCGAGTGCCTCTCGGAGCTCA